ATGGGTGATCTCCACTCTATAAACAATAAATTTAAGCCTAGAAGGGAAAACAACTACTTTGTGGACACTTCTAAGCATAACATTCATAATACAGTATAAATAGTAAGGAACTCACCATCCTGATGTCAAAAGAAGGCTTGTTTTTGTTTCCCCAGAAGTTGTCTGGTATGAGGCTACAATCTGCAAATGTATAAAACTAGATTATGACTGTTTCTGTCCAAAAAATAAATGGCAAGCTTGAGAAATATGTAAAGTATATAAAGTAACCTACAAATTAGTTAGAATTCTGAAAACTACATAAGCAGAAAAAATTGCATATAATGGGAAATAGTAAATTAAGTGCCATGAAGCCAATCACCTTTGAAGGTGCCTTGCCCCAAACCAAGCATTTGCCATTTGTTCTACGGAATTCTTGTCTTTGCCTGTCACAGTCATAGTTGATGTATATGCAAAGAAGTCCTGCTACTAGAATGAAAAGTGCAAGCTGGAAAGGGGAATTAATATAATTAGCATAAAGAATATGTAAATGTAAATTGGAATTCTTCAACTGCTAAAACAGAAGTAATTTTGCTCATCCAACAAGGTTCAAATCTTGGCAAAGGCATGGTACTCAAACTCAAATCCATCTTTGAAACATTGCCAAACAGATACTGTAACTCTGCTGACCAAAACCATTAATTGTTCCTTCAAATTTCATATATTTACCAATTTATGCTTCAGTATTTTATCCAGACCAAGAAAAAGTAGCTAACTTTTCATGTATTATTTGTCAGCTGCCCAAATTCACAGCCAAGTTTTCAGCACTTAAATTTCCCTTCAATCCATCGTAAGGGCATATATATGATAAATAAAGGGATGTGATCATTTTTGAAACATTTCAATTCTAAGTCCTCAAAATAAGAACCGAATTGTGAAAACATGTAAAGAAAAGATGGCTAAGACAACACTGCTAGTAAACCGTAACTCCAATTTATTAGGCAAACCAACAAAAACTTGGAAACTTGTTACCTGAGTTCCAAGATGCACGGGATGATTAACTAGGTACATGCCAGGGGAAGTATATATAGACGGAACCCACACCAAGCATCCCCAACAAATATAAAAACCAGCTGTTGGAAAAGTAAAAAGATCAGAAAGATAAGATAAACTCCTAAAAGAAAAGGCATAACTTTTAATACTTTAAAACAAAAAATATACAACAGGCTAATACGTAATGCATATTTTGTCCACAAGCAATGATATATGTGAAAATGTCAACTAAATATACTAGTGTTACTTCTTTTGCTAACAACATGAACATATGTGATGCAATAAGAAGATAAGGAAAGTTAAACAATAGAAAACCCAGCTAATTCTTCCACAGCAATAATCATAACTAAGGTCAGGTCAATAATATTTCTTATTACTGAATATATATATATATATATATAATTAAACTTCGAATCAGTAGTGACAAGTGACTGAAAATTAAACAGAAGCTGAAGGAAGATGCCAATCCTCTAGCACAAAAAGATGCCTTGTAAAGTTGTTTACAATATGCTAGAGCCAGTGGTTCAAAGCAATAATCTTTAAGATCTCAGCAGGATTTATTTAAATAAGTCAACAGGACATAATCAATACAAAACATCCAAAAAGATAGAATTTAGAGATGCATTTACCAGCCACCAAGACTATGAAAACCATTATGTTTCTCTTTTTTCTAATAATAATCAGTAGGGATCACTTAATGAAAAACTTCAAATTAATAATTAAATTTAGGAACCAAAAGAATCTAGCAAAAATTACGAGAAAGAGAAAAAGATACAAGTATTTTGCAAATTTACAAGCACTAAAATTTGAAGATGCACTAAAAAGTTCCATTTCTTCCCATAAAATCATTAACTAAAGGTTTTTTTCTTCTTTCTTTTTCTGTTTAAATCTTCAAACACGTGGGTAAGTATTATTTCATCAAGGTCAATGGTCATTCTAGGTTGTACACATGCTTCTATTCCAATTCAATCATTAAAATAACCATGACTATGAAACCAGCATAAGAAGAATAGAGAGCAATAGAGCATATGCAAACCTCGATCATGTGCAATGTCCATAGTGTTCCAATACCCAGCTTCCCACCAAAAGAACTTTGTAACATAAACCAGCATCAATATTGTATTTACAAGCATGGAATCTGCAACTCTCCCATTCTGCTCATACTGGTAAAATAACAATATAAAAGATTAAAAGAAGCAGAGGATCATGATGGTGATGATTAAAATCACCGCCACAAAATTCTAAAACTAACAAGCAGAAAATTCTTTGACCAAACTAGTTGATGAAGAAAAAAAGGCTGATCATGGTAAGTATTATCTTATGTTGGAAGTGAGTAGAAGAGAATAAGAAGGGTAAACAAGCAATCAAGAATCTAAACAGAAATTCAAAGTGGCTGTAATTAGGCAACCACCTGCACAGGCATTACTTTCAACATGAATAACTTTAGGTTTAGGAGGACTAAGTGAACCCATGACTTCTATACTCAAACATTTCAATTAAAATCTCTGCAAAACCCAGCTGAAATAATCAGTCTTATTATTTTTTCCATTTTTACCTCACATCCCACCCTACCCTTCCCTATGCTCAAAATCTAATTAAATTGATCCCCCTCTAAGATTGGTATGAGGGAGATTTAATTCTTAAACCCCTTCCTCATGCAGAAGAACTCTTAATCAACAGGGATCTAGATAAAACATACCTACAGTTATGTATGACTTCTTCGGTATTTATATTGTTGCACAATCCATCTTTTGTCAATAATTTTCCAATCTCCACCTTTCTAGTACTCCACTGAAAAGTAAATGAGGGCACAATTTTTTGTTTTGGTTGAAATATGGATGACTTTAAGATTAAGCATACTGATTACATGTAACAATGGAAAGTAGAATACTATGGAACATCATTAAAGGTATGTGATGAACAACCAAGAGGGCTGGTATACCGTAGGAAGGGCAAGGGTAAAAAGTAGAGGAATAAGTGCTGACATTTGTGTGTAGAAGGTTAGAGTTTGTTAGAAAGGACAGATGACAGATGGCTTGACAGGAATGAATATAGGAAGACTCGGTTAGGAGCACAAAAGGTGCCAGGAGTGAATAAAAATAGAGAGGGGAGAGAAAGAATGATCAAGAAGGAAAAAGTAAATTGGAAGGGAGGCAACTGACCCTCGAAGTCAGTATTCTGGGAGGTGACTGACCCTCGAAGTCAGCCTTTGGTTTACCATTTTTCTCTTAGTGTAGTTGCTGTATTTTCCCGGTTTATTTGCTTATTGAGTACTGATAGGACAAGGCTACTAGAAGTATCTGTTCTGGTTGTAATGTTCTGTGTGGGTATTAATATAACTAGGTATTTTCTTATTGATTGTGAGTGTTGGTTGTGTGTTGTGGAATAGCTTGTTGGTATTGTTAGTTGTTTTTGCAGGACAGGTTCTATCAATTGGTATCAGAGCACTGTCGTCTGGGTAATGGTCTTGACAAGGATGGATTCAAGAATGGATAATGTTCAGAGAGAGATTACGAAGTTGGGAGTAGAAATGGGTACAATCAGAGAATGTTTAGTTGAGCTGTAGTCTTGGGTGCGACGAAAAGATGAGGAAGAAGCTGGGAGAGCTGAGAGGCGATCATCGGAGAATGTACAATCTCACCAAGAAGAAAACCCAAATGGAGCTAGTGGATCTGGGAACAGTGGTCCAAGCCGCAGTGAACTGGGGGGGATGAAAGTTAGAAATGCCCATATTTTCCGGTGAAGATCCGTACGGATGGATCTTTGGAGTTAAGCATTACTTCAGTCTCAATGGGGTATCGGAAGAAGGATAATTAACAGTGGCAGCCATTTGTATGGAAGGTGAAGCTATAAATTGGTTCCAGTGGACGGAATCCCGAACTCGGACAAGCGCGTGGGCCATGTTTAAGTTGGCACTATTGCAACGTTTTAGTGGGTCACAAGAACTCAACCCATACGAATCCTTAATGGCAGTCAAACAAAATGGTTCAGTCATGGAGTTCCGTCACTAGTTCGAAGCAGTTGCAGCTCTGTTGGTGGGGGAGAAAGAAGAAATATTGCAGGCTGCTTTTGTGAATGGGCTGAAGGTGGAGATCAGGGCGGAAGTCAGATTGGCTCAACCAAATTCCTTAATCCAAATTATGGAATTAGCCCAACGAATAGAAGACAGAAATCGGGCTTTAGAAGAAGCCCAAGTGGGATCACATAAGGTTTCACGCACATCTGGGCCTGGGCTGTCTTATGGGCCCAACAATCAAGGATCCAAGAGTGCGACCCGATTTGAGCATAACCCGACTAGCCTGACCCGATTTGAACCTAACCCAACTAATCCTAAATTTCCCAATTCAGCCGAATCCCTAAAAACACATTTCACGTCCCATTTCAATCGTCGAGCACCAGAATCCTCCATGAAAGGTTCTTCGACCAATTTTTCCACTCGCGACCAATCAACAACATCCTTTCGGCCGTTCGAACGTCAGAACTTCCAACGGTGAGACTTTCCCTTCTGTCGAATGACAGATGCGGAGATCCAGAGGAAACGAGAGAAAGGGATTTGTTTAACGTGCGATGGGAAGTATTCTCTTGGGCACAAATGTGGGGAGAAACAATTTCAGATTATTTTGATTGACGATGAGGAAGATGACCCAGATCCGATGGGGAGTAGAGATACTGTCGAAACAGAAACGGAGCAACAGCAGGAAAATGTGGAACTTTCTCTTAGTTCAGTGGTGGGGATTCAAGGTCCGAAGACAATGAAGCTCAAGGGAAGAATCCAAGGTAAGGAAGTGATTGTGTTGGTTGATAGTGGGGCTTCCCACAATTTTATTAGTTCGATGGTGGTTGACCAATTGGGAATACCAGTGGTGGGGACTCAATCGTTCGGGGTCAAAGTGGGTGACGGATATAGTGTGAGGTGTGAAGGAGAATGTCGGGATATATGTTTGGAGCTACCAGGGGTAACGATTGTGCAAATTTTTTTCCCATTTGGTATGAGCAGTGCTAATGTAGTCTCGGGTATTGCATGGCTTGAGACTTTAGGCAAGACTGTTACGAATTGGAGAAAACAAACTATGAGGTTCATGTTGGGAAACCAGGCTGTTTGTCTGTATGGGGACCCGTCTCTTAGCAAAACAATGGTATCCCTCAAGGCGATGATTAAGGCTTTGCAAAATGAAGGTCAGGGTTGTTTGATAAAATTTGGGCAGATACAGACTCAGTGTGAACAGATGGGGAGTATCGATGACAGACTGCTAGAGGTCTTAGACAAGTTTTGCCGAGTCTTCGAACCACTTCCGAGGTTACCACCTGTCCGATCAAAAGATCATGCCATTCAGTTAGTTCCGACAGCACAACCACCCAACCTCAAGCCATACCGATACCCTTATTACAAGAAAAATGAAATAGAGCGTATTGTCAAGGAAATGTTAACGTCGGGAATTATAAAACCTAGCATCAGTCCGTTCTCCAGCCCTGTTTTATTGGTGAAAAAGAAAGATGGAGGATGGCGATTCTGTGTAGACTATCGGGCAGTTAACAAGCTAACAATTCCTGATAAATTTCCGATCCCCGCTATCGACGAATTATTTGATGAGTTAGAAGGAGCAACGATATTCTCTAAACTCGATTTGAAGTCCGGCTATCATCAAATCCGAGTGAAACCCGAAGACACCCACAAGACTTCTTTTCGAACACATGAAAGGCACTTGAATTTCTCGTAATGCCTTTCGGCCTTACCAATGCACCGACAACTTTTTAGGCAGTCATGAATGAAGTATTCAGACCATACTTAAGAAAATTTTTATTGGTATTCTTCGACGATATACTGATTTACAGTCGGGAGATGGATGAACATGCGACGCACTTAAGCATTATTTTGCAGGTATTGTTGGAAAACCAGCTGGTGGTAAATCAGAAGAAATGTCAGTTTGGGCAGCTCCAGTTAGAATATTTTGGACATATCATATCAGCTAAGGGTGTGGGTGTGGATCCCGCAAAAATTGACAGCATAAGTAAATGGCCAGAACCAAAGGACATCAGGGCACTCAGAGGATTTCTTGGGCTGACAGGATACTACCGCCGCTTTGTGCGTGATTATGGTAAAATAGCTCTTCCACTCACTGGCCTATTAAAGAAAGATTCTTTTGTATGGAATACAACAGCTCAGCTGGCTTTTGAAGAGTTAAAAAGGATCATGACCAGTGTCCCTGTCCTACGGATGCCAAATTTCACTCAGGAATTTATTATAGAGACTGATGCCTCGGGCAACGGGTTAGGGGCTATGTTGATGCAAGAAGGGCGGCCTATCGCATTTCTCAGCAAAGGGTTATCTCTCAAGTCTAAACTGAAATCAGTCTACGAGAGGGAATTAATGGCTGTTGTGTTGGCTGTGCAAAAGTGGCGTCATTACCTCCTAGGAAGACATTTTGTTATCCGGACAGATCAACGGAGTCTCCATTTTTTAACTGACCAAAAACTATTAAGTGAAAGTCAGCAAAAATGGGTTATTATAATATTGGAACTAGATTTCAATATCCAATATAAACCTGGACCGTAAAATAAAGCCGCAGATGCTCTTTCCAGAATGCCTGATACAGTTGAGCATCATGCTCTGTCTGTGGGTTGTTTTTCCGGCTTAGACAGTTTAGAAGATGCAGTCCAGCAAGATACCCGATTACGTGGAATAATACAACAGCTCCTGATTGACCCGAACAGCCACTCCCATTTTAGATTAATGGGACGCCATCTGCTGTACCATAACAGGTTGGTGTTGCCTAAATCGAGTCCTCACATCCAAAAGACACTACATGAATTTCATACTTCGCCTATTGGGGGCCATTCGGGATTTTTTCGGACATATAAGCGGCTCTCGAATGTGGTGTTTTGGGAGGGAATGAAGAAAGATATCAAGGAATTTGTAGCTGCTTGTTGCGTCTGTCAACAGAATAAATACGACGCATTAAGTCCAGCAGGTCTGCTTCAGCCATTACCTATTCCTAACCAGGTATGGGAGGATCTCTCCATGGATTTCATTATGGGGCTGCCCAAAGCGAATGGGGTTGATAATATTCTGGTTGTGGTCGATCGTTTGACCAAATACAGCCATTTTGTCACTCTTAAACACCCGTACACAGCCAAAGTGGTAGCGGATCTGTTTATCAAAGAAGTGGTCCGGTTGCATGGGTTTCCCCGAAGCATTGTTTCAAATGGAGATAGAATTTTCATGAGCAATTTTTGGGCTGAATTATTCAAACAGTCCGGAACCCATTTACACATGAGTTCAACCTACCATCTGCAGACGGATGGTCAAATAGAAGTGGTAAACCGTTGCTTAGAGATATACCTCAGGTGCTTTGTCAATAGCCAACCGCAACAGTGGCCAAAATGGGTACCATGGGTAGAATTTTGGTTCAACACCACTTATCATAGCTCCTCAGGCATGTGTCCATTTAAGGCTCTTTATGGCCGTGAACCTCCAACAGTGTTACGCTATGTGGACCAGACTTCACCAGTTGAAGAAGTTGACCAACAACTTCAACAAAGAAACCACATTATTGAAGAGTTAAAGGCTAATATTCTCAAGGCTCAACACCGCATGAAGGTGTATGCTGATCGCCATCGCCGAGAGGTTACATTTGAGGTAGGGGACTCTGTCTATTTGAAGTTACAACCATACAAATTACGCTATTTAGCCCGTCGCTATAATGAAAAGTTGAGCCCACGGTTTTACAGTCCGTTTGTAATCACGGACAGAATTGGGGCCGTAGCATACAGGCTGGCACTACCTTCTTCAGCTCGTATTCACGACGTTTTTCATGTTTCACAACTGAAAAAAGCAACATTCCCAATTCCCAATAGCCAACCTTTACCAGCAGCCCTCAACAAGGATTTAATTCTACAACTTGAACCTGAAGCAGTCCTCAAAAAAAGGAAACTTCTGAATGGACAGTGGGAGGTGCTGATTCACTGGAAAGGATTACCGTCCTATGAAAACACATGGGAGGATTTTGACATTATTCACCACCAATTTCCTTCGTTCCACCTTGAGGACAAGGTGGTTCTCCTTGGGGAGGGTAATGATGAACAACCAAGAGGGTTGTTATACCGTAGAAAGGGCAAGGGTAAAAAGTAAAGGAATAAGTGCTAACATTTGTGTGTAGAAGGTTAGAGTTTGTTCGAAAGGACAGATGACAAATGGCTTGACAGGAGTGAATATAGGAAGATTCGGTTAGGAGCACAAAAGGTGTCAGGAGTGAATAAAAATAGAGAGGGGAGAGAAAGAATGATCAAGAAGGGAAAAGAAAATTGGAAGGGAGGCAACTGACCCTCAAAGTCAGTATTCTGGGAGGTGACTGACCCTCGAAGTCAGCCTTTGGTTTACCATTTTTCTCTTAGTGTAGTTGCTGTATTTTCCCAGTTTATTTGCTTATTGAGTACTGATAGGACAAGGCTACTAGAAGTATCTGTTCTAGTTGTAATGTTCTGTGTGGGTATTAATATAACTGGGTATTTTCTTATTGATTGTGAGTGTTGGTTGTGTGTTGTGGAATAGCTTGTTGGTATTGCTAGTTGTTTTTGCAGGACAGGTTCTATCAGTATGCCAGGCATTTCAACATTAATATGTATGTGGTTATAAAACCTTACACCCTACTAAAATGAGTTCTTTGTCGTAGTTGAAACTTGATATAATATTTGAGTTTTTCTCACAGTCACACACAACTCAATGTTTCCTATCAACCCAATAAAAAAAAGGAACATATACAAGGTACTAATGCAGAGAAATGCTTAAAACACTATGCCAATTTTAGATAATTTATTAACTTGACTTGAAATCACAAAGAATGAATTTTATAAATCCGTTTAGGATCACAGTTAGGCTAATACCTTTGACCATACTCTGTATGTGAGCCTAGCAAATGAGGTCTCTACACCACCACCAAAGAATTTCCCACATTTTGCTTCTAGTTTTTTGAACAAGAGAATTTATGTGACAAGTTAATTTGACATTTGGATGAACAAATATCTAAGAGCTAGTACCTGCTTAATACAGTAGGTAACAGCAAGAACTGCCCACGACATCATCCCAAATCTGCAGTTTGTGAAAACTTTGATGTCAAAGTTCTTACCAATTCGAGGATATAGCTCCATACCCTGTAACAAGGGAATAACCTAGATCAGTACATGGCCTGGACTACACATAAATGCCGAAGAAGAATTCATCGTCGAGCACAAATCTCATCATATTAACAACATTTCTTTTTCTACTCCTTAGATTATATATATGGCTGTTTCTTAGTGTGTTACATGTTTGTTGAAACATTGTAAAGTTGGTATTAACTTAATGACCTAGCATCGAGTAAAAACACCACCTAAAAGCCATAAAGCTACCAATCAGATGCATGAATATTTCAGATTTTATAAAATGGTAGCATATTCCAGAGATTATTAATAATTTTGCAGAACAATTATACAATTATACTACAAGACTTCCAAATGTACACTCTAGTTTAAAACTCCATGGAATCAACGCACAGGTCTTTAACCTAAGCCATAAATCAGAAGGTTTGAGTAGAGATAAAAAAACCCAAGCTTAGCCTAACTTCCATTAATGCTTACAAGGCCAATCAAACATTTAGCACCATATGAAAGTAATCATGCGATATGATTTTCCCAGGTTCTTTTTTAAAGAAAACATAAATGCCAGAAAGTGTTGGAAATCACTTGTTAATAGTTCTCAAATAGATCCTAGGAACCTCTTTCCAGAGCAAGCAGCAGAATTCTAAACTGGATGCTTGCCAGGAGACTTTAATTAAGCCTGATTCTGACCAACCAATTTCCAGAGTTCTAATTGCTTTTCCAATGTAAATCTTTAATTAATAAGTTCAGAGACCACTAGGTATCTTATCGATTCTCTGTTGCATTTCACCCCTTTTGCCCAAACTTTTAAAGTAATATGAAAATTTAAAATAATTACATAAACATAGTATTGTCATCATGAGCCTGAAGAAACTCACCCAGTAGAAATCAATTATTATGTTCCCACATGAACCAGAATCACTGGAAGATGGGGCCAAATGACCCTTGTAGACATAAAGCATCAGGGTCAGATATAAATTGAAGCAGTGTAATCTGTGAATAAATAATATTACAGCAAGCTTAAATTTAAATCCTCACTTTAATGTATAAGAAAACACAAAAAATGAGGCTTCCAAAAATGAGAGCTGAAAATATTTCTCCCAAATGATCATAAACAATTGTGGGATTGAATATGCCGAACCTGAAAATAAACACAATAAAAGTATAAACCAATTGCACTTGATGATATTTGATGAGGGTGACTAAAACTAGAAGCAGGTAAATCACACAGTTGTAAGGGAAAGGCAGGCTACAACAGTTACTAACTCATTGGCTGAATAAATTGAAAAAAAAAAGTGATATAGACATCATTGATTGTGTAGCAACTCACAAGCAGCCAAGCGGAAAGCTTCCACTCAGAACAACCCTTCTACAACATCAAATTCATAGTTCTAAAGCATTTTGAAATTTCATAATAAAAGAAGTTGATGGAGAAATCCTTTACCACCAAAGGCTTAGATAGGTCACAAGTGTCACTGTGTACGCTGCCATACCATTTGCCTGCACCAATCAACAAAAAAAGTAAGCTAATGTAAGCAATAAAATAAATGCAAGCAACATGATTAAGTAGAAAAAATTTCTTCAATTTTGAGTTAATGAAATTAAATCCTAACAGTCCACCAAAATTATCAGCAAGCAACTATATATTAAGGCATTTTGGAAAAGAAGATATCAAGTAACAGAAACCTTGTAAACAGGTCGGTTCCCAGCAGGAGATATTGGGCCCTCAACCCTTTTTCCAGGCAGAAGAAGCTGAAGGGCAGCCTCAAATGCTGCATAACAAGCAATTATTTTCCAAGCCGTAACAGTGGGTCTTGGCCATATATCTACAAATCCTTGCAGCCCATGTTGCCTCAAGTAATCAAAGGTCTGGATAATAGACCCATCGGCATGCACCATCGTATACCATCTGCATAAAGTAACGAAATCTAACTCTGATATTGTCTTCAATATATTAAGCTAAAATTTACAAGAATAGATACTTATCACCCAGGTTAGACAATACATGAACAAATCAAGTCTAGTTAACATAAAAAAATCATGACAACATCAGTGCCGACCCAATAATTGTTCAATGGTTCCCTCAATCTTTTCCTTTACTCAATCAGTCAGAGAACACAAAAATAAGACAAAAAAAAAAAAATTAAAATAAGACAGTTGGGACAAAATTCTGCCATTTCTATTCTTATTCGAACGGCAATTTTTAAAAACTAAGGTGCTCTTTGAATCTTGAAGTAAAGAACAGAGTCCAACATAAACACATTGTAAAATGCTTTCTTCTTCATTTCTCGAAAATCAAACAGAGCAGCAATGACACAATGTAGACCATGTTATTAAAAAGATTTAAATTTAAATATATTTTTTCTATTCATTTCCTAAATATATCAGAAATTCAAAAAAAGGATCAATAACCCGATCCATAACATGACATCCAAATGAAAACATGAAAAAAAAAAAAAAAAGGAATATCAAGCCACGAGTCAATCCATATTCCTCTCAAAGCCAATGTAAAAGCTCATACACCATTGCTAAAACAGATAGTGATAAGCATAAGATCTAATGGTATATAAACTTGAACCAGCAAAGCAACCAATTGCCACAAAATATTAATAAAAAATTCTTATATTTTACACAGGACAAACATAATTTCACATAAATTACAGCAACAAGAAGCACTCTTTTCTCCACATTATCTATTCTTAGCTATCAGAGGAAGTCAACAAAGTCAACCATGTCAATTGACATGACAACAGCATATCTCTAGTAATCAGCATTTCTCTTTTTTCTCATTAATTATTCTTTTCTCATTAATTATTCTTTTCCGTCGTCTCCAAATAAATAAATAAGTAAATAATTGCAACAGAAGAACAAATCAAATTCAGGCCACGAACTAACCAACACTCCTCGTAAAATTAATTCAAAAGAAATAATAGCAAAAATCAGAGTTCGTAAGATCTAAACTTCAGTTAACAATTTCTCTTCCATTCCTAGAGAAAATTTTAATAATACCAAAACTCGAAAGTAATCTAAAGATCCATGCACGCCTTCTGAAATCAAAATCAAACAAAAACATATAAAAGAAAGATTGAACCATTGGGAAAAGCGGCGAAACTTACAGCAAAATAACGAAGGGAGGACAGAGAGTGAGAAGAGAAATCATAGAAAAATAAGTGAGAGCTGCCGAATGCACCGTCTTCGATTCCGTAGAAGCCATTTTTCGTCTAGTTTTCTTCACAATCTGAGATTTTTGCAAGTCTGAAATCTCGCAACTCTGTTAGTTATGGACTGCGTTTTTTGTTCTGTTCGCTTGACTTGAGCGGACTTTTGTTATTCATTAACCAATTAGAATTTTAGTTGTTATTCGTTAACCAATTAGAATCTTAGGTACGGTATGAAGTTTTATGTAGAGATTACGGGGATAAACTCCTAAGGTAAACCATCATTTTCAACGGTTCTAATAATTTTTTAAAATAATAAATTTATATATATATCTATTAAAATACTCAAACTCTAACCAGTATTTAAGAGTTTTATTTTTTCAATTATAAGGTAAAATTTTTTATTTATTTTTTACTTATTAGTATTTTATAACTTTAAATGTGGTAAAGTCTTTTTATCATTCTTCACCGTTCTTTGTAGCATCTAGAATAATTGAAAAATTGTAACTCTACTTCTTCAATAAAAGCATTTAGAAATGAGATTTTAATAAAAATTTTTTTTTTTTTATGATTGCTTAAAATTATTTTACATTTAATATGGTTGAAGACGTGTATAATATGATTAATTTTTTTTGATATAATTGGGATAGTTTTATAGTAGATTGAGTATTTGTAGAATAAAATTTTAAAACCAACCAAAACACCATATTTGGGGTGTTTTATAAACTCCTAAAATATATACTACACTAGTTCTGTGGGATTTTTGATTCAGTCAAAACTAGTGCATAAAAAATCTGACAAATAATAATTTAAAAACACCTCAAAACTAGTCTAATTAGAAACCTCTAAAAAATAGTGGAAAAAAACTCTTAGAATCTTTTTTCTTTCTTTTTAGAATTATTTGTTGGCGGACTAGATCGCTGTGCTGTTACGCTAAATCGCTAATATTTAATGACTAATTTTCTTAACTCCCCTACAGTTTGTCGTCTTTAAATACACCCTAAAATTTTAGAAATATTGTTGGCTTCGCTCAAGTTTTAGTATATTAGTAGTAGGGGTGTTCAAAAGAACCGGAAGATACCCTAGGTTTGGTTCTGATTCCTACCCAGAACCAATCGTCAATGGGTAGGTTCTGGTTCCAAATTTTTGGAACCGTTACTATGCGATTCCGGTTCCTATAGTTAAGAACCGGAACCAGAACCAAGAACCAAGAACCGAGACTAATATAAAATAAAATTAAATATTAGGGGGGTTAATAAAAACTTTTATAGAAAAAGTAATGTGAATACATTTATATTTATATTTCATAACATTTAAAGTAAGTTGGTTTGATTTTTGAGAATCTACCTTTACAAAGTAATTGAGTTTGTAATTTTGAATTTATAATTTGTAATTTTATTTTGGGAGAACGACTTATACATACCCAATGTTTTTCGAAACGACAAGTTGATACCCAAAAGGTTTTGAAACGACAAATGGATACCTTCCGTCATGTTCTGTTAGTGATTTTGGTTAGATAATAGTGAAAAGACTAAAATACCCTTGAAAGTTTAATTTTTAGTTTTTTATAAATTTAAAAACTTCTAAAAAACCCCCTAGGTTTGCTAATTTGACTAAACAGCCCAATATATAAAACTTTTATAAAATAACAAAAACACCCCCACCACCCCCGCAGTGCCAGATTCCGGCCACCACCGCCGGAATCTAGCCGGAAAATTGTGTTACGACACAGACCCGTCGGATTTGTGTCGTAACACACCGATCTGGCCTTTTTCGGCCTCGACGGCCAGATCTGGCGTTTTTCGGCCAGATCATCCATGGATCTGGCCGGAAAACGCCAGATCGACGTGTTACGACACAGATCCGATGGGTCTGTGTCGAAACACAATTTTCCAGCAAATTTCCGGTCTCGACGGCCAGATCTGGCCGTAGATCTGGTCTTTTCCGGCAAGATCAGCCACGGATCTTGTCGGAAAATGAAAGATCTACGCGTTACGACACAGATCCGATGGGTCTGTGTCGTAACGCAATTTTCCGGCCAGATTCCAGCGGTGGTGGCCGGAATCTGGCACTGCGGGGGTGGCGGGGGTGTTTTTGTTATTTTATAAAATTTTTATATATTGGGCTGTTTAGTCAAATTAGCAAACCTAAGGGGTTTTTTAGAAGTTTTTAAATTTATAAAAAACTAAAAATTAAACTTTCAAGGGTATTTTAGTCTTTTCACTATTATCTAACCAAAATCACTAACAGAACATGACGGAAGGTATCCATTTGTCGTTTCAAAACCTTTTGGGTATCAACTTGTCGTTTCAACAAACCTTGGGTATGCATAAGTCGTTCGGCCTTTTATTTTTGTTAACAAGTGCCAGGTGGGGGGGTATTTGTAAGTTTTTAAGGGTTTTTTTGCCATTTTAAAAACTTTTGGGGGGTCATAATTTTATAGGGTACCCAGAATTGGAACCGGAACTGTTGTTACAGGTTCTGGTTCTGGGTACCTAGGAACTGGAACCGTCGGTTCCGGTTTTAGGTACCTAGGAACCAGAACCGTCGGTTCCAGTTCTGGTTCCAAATTTCAAGGAACCGTCAGTTCCGGTTCCTTCAAAAAGTGCAAGATACCCGGAACCGAACACCCCTAATTATTAGGGGTCTCATTTGTTAAGATAATTTTATTTTGGAAAACTTAAAGACAAAATGGAAGTTTCAAAATTTTCATTTAAGTGACATTTAAGGATCACTTATTGCTAGACTTTAAGGGTGTGTTTGGATTGGGGGCATACAAGATAATGGGAGTAATATTCGTTTATTTTGCTAGATTCTGGTGTCTGGTTTGTAAGTAATAAAATATTATGAGAATCTTTTATTGCAAATAGGGGGCATGTGGATCATATAATGTTTTATTATAGGGGGATATTATATTAACGGAATAAAAGATTATCTTGAAGATTATTAAGAATGTTTAGAAAATGTGTTTGGTTGGTTCGAATAAATTGGTGAATAATATGTTTGGTTGGGAGGATAAATGGATGAGTATGTTATGAATATTACTAAATTGCCCTCCTTTTTAAATATTAATATAATAGTTTTTTATTATTTTTTTGAATAATTTCTTTTAACCCCCTACTTTTCAAATTTAGTAAAAACACCATAGCAATCAAAACCATTTTAAACTTAACAAAAACACACCTACCCACCCCAAGCCACTGCCGACAGCCAGCCACCACCGTCAGCGGCCGCCAACAATGTCATAGATCTGGCCGTGACAGCGGCAATGCCATATATCTGGCCATTTTTAGCTAAAGATGTGGTCGTGAAACGTTGGCCGTTTTCGACCATGGATCATAGTCAGAAAATGCCTCATTGGCACACGACCGGCCATATACGGCCGACTGTACGCCATACTGGTGACTTTTGGCAACCTTCGGTGGCGGTTGAAGGTGGCTGGCGGTGGTGGCTAGTTCTAGGTACAATGGTATTTCTGTAAATAATGACAATAACAGGGGCAAGTCATCCAGAAAATTTAAGAAGTGAGGAAAAAAAGGTATGCATGAGTGAATTGGGTTTTTGTAAATCTTAACAAATATAGGGCTAATTTGGACCAAATGCTCAACTGTTTAATATGAGACACAAAAATTGATTACATTGGCAAGGTCCTCCCCCCTAAATGCCATTGTTTGTCATAAAAGATTCCATAAATATTTTTTTACAAATCAACCAAACATTGTCATCTTCTCAATTTAAAAAATATTAACCCAGTTATCTAATATTATCCCCATCCAAACAGGCTCATAGAATTTACTGTTGGTAATATAGAGGATAATATGATACTCTCTCCCACCCCTAAGATTAAAACATTACTAGGTAATTTGATTTTTATACCTATTTTGCTCTTAATTAAATACCATTTTAGACACAATTGCCCTCAAATGTCTACCAAATAACAATTACCCAGCCCCCTTACATTTGAGAAATTAGCTAAAACACCCCAGCCACAAAAAAGTTTAAAAGTTAACAAAATACCCCTAGCCACCCAAGACCATAATCGGCAGTTACTCACCACTGCCATTCGCCAGCATCAATCGCCATAATGGTGCACAACCAATGGAATCTGGTCAATCGTGTGCCGATAAGGCCTTTTCCAGATCCACGGCCAAAAACGACCAGATTTGGTCGTTTTACGGCCAAAGATGTGACCGTGAAACTAGCCACAGATCTGGCTATGAAAATAGTCAGATCTGTGGTCATTTCATAGCCACATCTTTAGCCGTGAAATGGGCATAGATCTGGCCATGAAACAGCCATGGATTTGTGATCCATGGCTAGAAATGGCTTTGCCAACCCACGGTCGACCACATACAGTCAGTATGTGCCATTCCGTCAAATGCCGGAGGTGGTGGCTGGCTACCAACAGTAGCTTGGGTGGGTACAGGTGATTTTGCTTCAAATTAAAGTTTTATATGATTGGGGTGTTTTAACAAAATTTCAAATGTAGGAGGTTAAAAGAAATGATTCAAAAAATAACAATAAAAAATAATATTATATTAATATTTTAAAAGTAGGACAAGTTAGTAATTTATATAACATACCCACTCATTTATCCTCTCAATCAAACATATTATTCACCAATTTATTCGAACCAACTAAACACATTTTCTAAACATTCCTAATAATCTTCAAGATGATATATCTTTCCGTTAATATAACATTCCTCTATAATAAAGCATTATATGATCCAAACGCCCCTAAGTGTAGTAGAGGCATTCAAGTAATTTTATGGGTGCCTTTGGTTCATAAAATATTATATTAATGGGAAGTAGATTACCTTGAAGATTAATGGGAATATTATATTAAATGTGTTTGGTTAGATTGGAGTAAATTGGTGGGTATGTTATATAGATTACTAAATTACCCTTCTTGTTTAATATTATTATTATTATTTTTTAACCCCCTACATTTGAGATTTTGCTAAAACACCCCAACCACAATAGAATTTTAAATTTTAACACAAACACCCCAACCCACCCAAGCCATTGTCGGTCACCAGCAACACCGTTAGCAGCAGTCAAAATCTGGTCGAAAACGGCCAAATCCACGACCATCTAGCCATTTTCGACCATTAATCTAGTCAGAAACAACTAGATGGCGCACAACTGACCAAATCTAGCTGGTTGTGTGCTATTCTT